CCTCGGCGCCCTCCTCCCCCTCCCTCCGCGCGTCCCTCGTTTCCTGCCGGCGCCCGTTGCCATGACGACGCCGCTCCCGGGCCTCTGCGCTCTGAGCCCCGGGGTTTTTTCCCTCTCTCGCTCTCTTTCTCCTTTTTTTTTTTTTCCCCCTTCTTTCTCTCCGAGTTCTGCTCGCCGGTTGGAGGGACAAAACTGAGAAAGTGCTGGCCTCTAGTGGGGAAGTCACTTCTCACAGAGAAGGAGAGGGAGATGGGAGAAGGGAGGGAAGTGACGTGAAAAGGGGGGAAAAGAAGGTATTTTCTGGAGCTTTTGGGAATAAGGGATAGAAAAAAAGGATCAAAGGGACCAACAGGAAGAGAGCGATAAAGCAAAGCAACGACTCCAGAGAAACGATCGACTGGAAAATAAAGCCGAAGAAAGGAGAGAACAAGAAAGGAAAACAAAGATTGAGGAAAAAGAGAATTTTGATTGTTTAATCTCACCTCAACTCCAAGAAGGCGGGAAAGAATGCTGCACAGAAACAGGGAACCCATTAGGAGTTGACATTCATCTAAAAGCATCAACCTGATATAACTTGCTTTGAATAATACGTTTAAGTCTGCAATTTCAGTGATTTCGTGTGCTTGTGTCTTCTTAGATTTAAATGTGTCTGTAAAAGCGAGAATGATAAGGACAAAAACGAGAGAAGGCAGAGGTATAAACAGAACAATGGGGCTGTTCTTGGGAATACTAAACATTTAATAAGGCAGTAGCCTTTTCATTTATCAGTTTTGAATTCTCTTAGACTTGGAACATTTAGCAAAATTTATAGAGCACCTACTATGTGCCACTCACTATTTTGGAAGCTTGGCTTACACACCAGTGCACAGAACAAAGATAACTGTCCTCATTAACCTTTACAGAAGGGGCCAGGGGACGCCTTGTGGATTAATAACTAGGATTGATGCTTTTTCTGTTGTTATCATAGTCCAGTAACTGTTTTTACCTATGTCTTAACCTCTGTTCTATCCAGTTAATTCTGTCAACCGACTCTTTATTCTCTTCTTTAAAAGCCAACGCATGGTTTGTTTTACAGAAAAAAAAAAATAGAACTGTTCTCTTTGTTTATAAATTAGATCCGTTTAGATTTGCATTGAGAAAGGAGTGTTTGGACGCTGGACTCTTAATTATCAGTAGCCAGATTTATATCAGAAAAATCTGCCAGGCTTCTAGGAACCAGTCAGACAAGTATGTGAGGGAAGAAACCGGAGGGCAGCCAAAGGGCTGGAAAAACAAAGACCCAAGGTGTGAGGAGGTGAAAGGGTATGTTGCCAGGATGGATGACAGGCTTTGGCTGAAGATAAATTGAAAAAATTCTGGCAGAGAGCTAGTGGTAAAAACTAGGTAAAGCATTTCATTTGATTCAAACCTAGATTTGTGGCATGTCTTAAGTTTAAAGCTTTTGTGCGGAGACTTGGAATGGATATATTGAGCCTAAGCTAAATATCCTAGCACCCATGAAAAATTTGTGCCTATAGATATTTTTCAGATTATACAATATTCAGGTCAAGAAACATTACTCCTGTGCTTCCATGGGTCCCATGGGAGAATTATCACTGTTAAGTGTCTACAGGCTTGTAATATAGTCCAAGGATAAGGAATCTAATGCTATAGTTGTTTTTGCAAGCCTATGGAACTTGCATACTTAATGGATACCTGGCCATTTCAGCCTCAATAGAAGTGGAGCAGAATCACTACCAATGGGTATAGTTAATCCCACCTCTAAAGGTTTTTTATATTTCTTGGCTCACCGGCCCCTACATCTACTAAAAGTTATACATTTAGATGATGTTAGGGTCTAAGATAGTGATGGTGTATAATTTTGTTGAATGTCTGATATAAATCTAGTTTAGGAGTACTCTCTCACAGAGCATGCCTTATTGATTAGAAGCCAGTAGTTAAACTTTCTTTTATAGAGGCTTGTACCCCATGTTTCATAGTCATTCTTTTCAAGTTTATTTCTCTCCATGACACACCAGTCTTCCAGGGTCATAGGTCTAAGCAATTTTTCAAAGAAAATTTCAGGATAAAAAAGAACTATATCAACAGTGAAGTGAAGTATTAGAAAACCTCCATTTGTAAGAAAACAATTTCCATGATGAAATCATCTTGGGAACAGGTACTGAAGAGCTTAACTCGATCTTAAACAGCCTGTGCTTCCTAGAAAATCCACTACTGACTTTTCTTTTTTGCTAAACTTTCTCATTTTCATTTAATGATTCCGTTGGAATTAGTCTTTTCTTTTTCAAACCAAATAGTTCTTCTGAATGAAGGCTAAATGATTTCTTTACTCTGCATAACACTGAAAGTCATTAGCCTAAATAGGTGAAAAGGAAATGCATTCCATCTGGTAAGTAGAAGTCGAAGCCCTCCCACTGCAAACTTATCAAGGAAAGATCAGGATTTCAAAGGAAATCCACTGTTTGGAAGCAACAAAAGCAAATAAAATAAGATGCAGGCTAATATAATTTTGCACATCAACTGACATTGAATAAGTATTCTTCAAACTTCTCTTCTAAGCCCAACATTGTGCAATGAATTGTGAAGGAAGAGATTGGTCCTTCCCCCTAGAGGTGTTAGTATCGTTGGAATGTGTCTGTTTACAAGTAACCAAGCAAGTAAGCAAGTGTGATCACATTTTTATGCAAATGGAGATAGGATGAAGTAGGGGGGGAAAAAGAAATCAAAACCTTTAACCACCACCAATTTCGGATGTGAACCACCATGCATATCCCACTCCCATCCCACCACAATTCTATATGCCACTTAAGGTCTATCTGGGAGAAAATGAAATGAAGATTAAGAGTATTTATAGTTAGATTTTTAAGGCAAAAAAGAACTTTAAAATTGTCCAAGGCCCTCCATTTTAAGTGGAGAAAATTGAAGGCTAAAAGATGAGTGTAGAAGAGGAGCATTTCATAATCCCTGACAAATAGAAGATGTCCAAAAAATATTTGGTAATTAAATTAATTTCCTAGGTACTTGCCCTTCTCTGACCTAGAAAAAAAAAAACGACAACGAAATTCAAATATATAAAGGTACTTCTCATTCCTCACCATTAATACCCATAATGGAGTTCAGGACACACTCACCCAAAATATAGCACCTTGGCGTATTGACTATTTTAAGCTGAAGACGTTTGAGAAAATGGCAGAAACAGGAAAGTCACTCTGATTTCTCCCTTCTTCTTTTCCAAAACAGGTCATAAAACTCCCCCTGTGAGAAGTGCCCCAGGAAGAAAGGAGCATCCTTATCCCAGGAGACAAAAGGAAACCAAGAAAGGTCCTAACAAACAGGCCTTGCTCAGTTTCCCCCAGTTAACTACACTCACCTCATATTCCTTAACCTATGATATTCCTCCACGACTGTCCACTCTTCAACAAACTAGCATAAAATGACACCAGGCCAACTATTTCTTTGGCTCTTCATTTTCTTATGAAGGCTCCCATGTCACATAAAACCTAAATAAATTATGTTGAAATAAATTTAGTTGAAATAAATTTCACAGCCCAAGATGGAGCCACTCATGCCTGGGGTGCCCCATCAGCAAACCGAAACTTAAGATAACTTTCATGGCCCTGTAAATGCTCCACAATAACATAGGCGTCACCAGTTTAGGCAGTTACCATGTGACCTTCTCTCAGTTTTGGTTTTCTTTCTATAAAATGGGAATAACCCCTAGCAGTTGTTGGAAATAAATGAGATGTTTATAAAGTATTTTATATAGTATCTGACACATAGTACAAGCTATTATTTTTAGTTTCCTTTAGTAACTCAATATATTTTTGTCATCACCAAATGTATCTAAAGCACTCTTTATTTTTTACTCAGCCGATATCACAACTTTTTAAACTCACAATTTAGTTTATGAGTTAATGGATTTATTGTTGAGGAGAAAAAACTTTTCCTCTCTATTCACTTAGATTCAATTAATGGGGGCCTGTGATTAAACTAACAAAAGACAAATGAACAGGAGAAAAGACATTAAATGTTTATTAATATTTATTTGTATGGGAGTTCACAGGGAAAAAAACTCAAAGTGGTTAAACTCAGGAGCTTATATACCTCTCTTAACAAATGAAAGAGGGTTTGGGCTTCTAGAGACATAAATTCCTAAATTGTGGAGGAATAGTGCTCTCTTTTCTTCCAGGGTGCAGGTAACCTTCCTCAAAGGGAAACTTAGGCAAAGAACTCTTCCTGCATCTGTTAATTCTCAATTACCTTTAGCTCAAAATAATACTTAAACCAAAGTAGTATATTTGGGAGCAGCGTAGTCTGATCCCCTTCATTACTATCATTTTATATGAAAAGAGTATTCCATTTCCTATGTACAAAATGTACATCCTTTAGGATTCAAGTGTGTCCTCTGGTCTACTTTTCCAGGATTTGGGTACAAATCCATGTTGAGAGGAAGCACTAGGTGTCTATCCTGTGGGGTTATGTACCCTAGGCCAAGAGAGCTAAGGCCCTGGGAAGAAGTCTAAAGGGAAAAAAAGATTCAAAATATACTTAGAGG